AGCGGAGCAGTATAGTCGGACGGGGCCGACCATATGATACCCTACACAACTTCCACGAAAAACTAACTTTCTGTGGATCTATATTCTGAGTTTGGGCAATATTTCGCGATATTTGAACCATCTGAACCAACTAGAGACCGACAATTATTACTAATGTTCATTACAGCCTTTCTCATTACTTGTCCAGATTCCCTTCCCTTCTTATTCCCATTGGAGTCTATAGATCGACTCGAAAAAACAAAAAAAAATTAAGTTTTCGGTCCACTTCATCACAATATAATTATCTGATCGTCACCGAAAATTGTAGGCGTTATCCTTGACCATAACTGGACCTTTATGGAACATTTTAAAGCGATCAGCGCTATATTTCCGCCCTCTGTGGTAAAGGGTTACTAAATAATATCTGAATACATAAGCATCTGTAAATATTTAAGTGTAACTCCCACATCTGAGTACATACGACCATATAATTGGTATTAATTTAAAGGTCAACCACTCCTCTTGGATATAATATCAACTTCTCGGTCTATGTCCTTTAGGGGCAAATATATACGCTATAGAATACAAATTTTGTAATTTTTCACACAAAAGTCAGGGTCCATTTGACCCGCTAAATATTGACCAATCTTTATCAAAACAGGCATGCTTATTCTTTGGCCCGATCCCCTTCTCCATGCAAAATTTCACGATGTTATTGCGGCCTCTGGAGCGACCAGAAAAACCGACAAAAATTTTGTATTTGGTCCATTTCATCCCCTTAATATTAACCGATCTTTCCCAAAAACAATAGGGGTCTTCATTGGCCAGAACCCATCCTATATGCAAAAGATTGGTCCATAAATGTGGCCTGTATCGTGTTTACAAATTATAATCGACAGACGGACGGACACACATGTCTAGATCGACTCAGCTAGTCGAGATATGACGATCGGTATACTTAAAGGTGGGTCTAGCACCAATATTTCGCGGCGTTACAAACTTTTGGTGCTGCACAAAGCTATAATACCCTGACAACATAGTTGTGTAGGATATAAATATACCAGGGCAAGAAAGAGTAGCTGTTAATCTCTAATCGGTCAAGAACGTGCAAATGTCAGAAATATTGCCTAGGCTCGGAATAAACAAAATAACATTTCACATAAAGAGGTTAATATTTATTAAAATACGAATGGTTCAAAATTTATATGACAAATACCAAAACATTAAATTTTTCGCTGTCGCCATTTCATCTCTGCATCAATAGATGGCGTTGCGGTTATCAAGGTGTTACGGCAAATCAAGGCATTCATAAAATTGAAATAAATTTTGAACGGATTGTGATTTTTGGAACATTGAAACGGTTATAAGCAGATTGGAACTCACTGATTGTCTGTGTGGTAAAATATGTTCAAAGTTCAGACCGTAATTAGGTAAATTTTGCTAAAAAACTAACGTAATTATCAGAAAACTTTCTATGTCATTTTCCGTAGTAAAAAAAATTGTATCAGAAAAGAACACATGAAGCTCATTCGATTTTTTGATATATCTCAACCCACTTTGAAATTTAGAGACACTTGATTTTTCTTGGCGATTTCCCAATTTTGCGACTGTTATGTCATCTATTGATAAATAGACCAAAATGGCGAAGAAGAAATATTTGTCATGTGAAAGCAAAGAACTCTGTTGCAATGAAAAGGAAAGCCAGAGAGATACATGTAGCTCATCTCGAAAGAGAAATTAATAAAAAAACATTTACATGGATGATCTTCGCCCTAAAACGGCATAAAAAAACTCAAAAATTCAGCTTGAGCCCGGCTGGGATTTGAACCCTGGTTCCCATGGCATCTGTTGGTGTCCGGCGCCTTAGCGTTCAAAGCCACCTCCTTATCTTCCTAAGGTTGCACAATATGCAGTTGCATACCATTGAAGAAAAATATTGTAGTCTGTATGGAAAAAAGTCCGTCACTACAAGAAAAATCTGCTCTGAAAAGGAATGTTCTGGTGCGATGCCAAATGTCCTGGTGTGATGCCAATTTCGCAACAATAGTCGACATAAATACAACTTATCAGTAAAGACATTTGTAAGCCACATTGCCCAATATGCCTGATGAGCCGCTTAACCAACGGTGAAACGCGTCGCATAGTGGTGGGAATATTGTATCTCTCTGGCTTTCCTTTTCATTGCAACTCCGATCATGTAGCTCATCTCGAAAGAGAAATTAATAAAAAATTAATTAATTTTGTTTAATGAAATTTCTCGATACTATAATAAAGACAAAATTGTTATCTAATAGAGCATTTCGTTAAAAAGTTACAGAGTGTTAAACGTTCAAAATTCGGACGGATTCCAACGTTTGGTAAAACAGACATAGCATCTTTGGAGGACCATTGAAATTCGAATCAACCCATACATATACCATTCTCAAATCTATGAATAATTGCATGCCAATCGGCCAGGCTTGGGTTCTACAGCTATATTAGTACCCATGTATTTAAAAATAATTAAAAAAAAAAAAAAAACAATTTAATTAAATGACACCTATGCAGTTTTTTTATTTTTTATGTATAATTATCAATTTCTTGGAATTGACATTTCAAATAATAAATTACAAAATCGAACCAAACATACACATTTTTCAAATAAAAATTTCTTAATGAAATTAAGGTTTATCAATAAAGCATCTGACCCGAATTGAAAAATTCGATTAATATATGAATCGTTGCTGGAATTCTACGCCAAAGGAAAGTGGTCCATTTGTGAGATTTTTCGTTTGGTTGCAAACAAGTTTGAAGATTTTTTTGTTTCCAAAAAAAAGAAAACAAATAATTTTATTTTCATCATCGGCTATAGTTCCCCCACTCTCTGTCTATCTCTCGTGCTTACTCCATGCCCTCAGCTACTGATAAGATTTATATTCAAACACCAAAAATCAATTCGAGCTTCAACAGATTCTATTTTTTAATAGCTAATTATGAATAAATCTTCTGCAGCAGGTGCTACAACAACAAATATGCTAATTTTTTACCTTCCTATCGTGTTACCAAAAAACAAAATTAGAAGCACAGGTGTTGATCATCAGTAACTTTGCACAGTGGGTTTAAAGTGTAAATAGATGCATGAATTTTTAAGATAAACAATTGAAAGGCGAAGAAAAAAGGCGTGGATTTTTTAACAAATATTTTTCATGGCTTAACATAAGCGTAGATTTTGTAAAAAAAAATTTCCCAAGGTCTATCAAAGACATGGATTTTTTTAAAAAAATATTTTTCCAAGGCCTATCAAAGGCTTAGATTTTGTAAAAAAAAAGTTCCAATGTCTATTAAAGGCGTAGATTTTGTAAACATGTTCCAAGGTCTATCAAAGGCATGGATTTTTATACCCTTCTTTGTGCATATGTTTGTAACAGGCAAAAGAAAACGAGATAGACACATGGTTCCTTTTGAGAATATGCATAGAATCACTTTCTGAGTCGATTTACGTCCGTCTGTCCGTCCATGTATTTTTGTGAACAAAGTACAGGTCACATTTATGATCCGATTTGGATGAAATTTGGCATAGGTCACTTATTTGGCCCAAGGACGAACCCCAAGGACGAACCCAGATTTAGATATAGTTCCCATATATATTTTCGTCCGATTTAATGTAAATGGTGCACCAAAGTCCCTATATATCTTTCGATTTGCACGAAATTTGGCACAGCGTAATGAATTAGGCCTAGAATGATGTGTGCTGAGTTTCATGAAAATCGGTTCAGATTTAGATATAGCTCCCATATATAGTTTCGTCCGATTTTATGTAAATAGTGCACCAAAGTCCCTATATATCTTGCGATTTGCACGAAATTTGGTACAGCGTAATGAATGAAGTATAGAATGGTGTGTGTTAAGTTTCCTGAAAATCGGTTCAGATTTAGATATAGCTCCCATATATATTTTCGTCTGAATTAATGTAAATGGTCCACCAAAGTCCCTATATATCTATCGATTTGAACAAATTTAGCATATCGTATTCAATTAAGTCTAGAATGATGTGTGCTAAGTTTCGTGAAAATCGATTTAGATATAGCTCCCACTTATAGTTTCGTCCGATTTTACGTAAATGGTGCACCAAAGTCCATATATATCTTTCGATTTGCACGAAATTTGGCAGAGTGTTCTGTATTAAGCGCAGAATGATGTGTGCTGAGTTTGGTGAAAATCGGTTCAGATTTAGATATGGCTCCCATATATATTTTCGTCCGATTTATGTAAATGGTGCACCAAAGTCTCTGTATATATTTCGATTTGCACGAAATTTGGCACAATGTAATGAATTAGGCCTGGAATGATGTGTGCTGAGTTTCATGAAAATCGGTTTAGATTTAGATATAGCTCCCACATATATTTTCGTCCAATTTAAGGTAAATGGTGTACCAAAGTCCCTTTATATCTTTCGGTATGCACGAAATTTGCATTAGGTATAGAATGATGTGTGTTAAATTTCCTGAAATCGTTGAAATCGGTTCAGATTTAGATATAGCTTCTTTATCTGACCAAATGAAAAAATTAGTATAGGTTGCGGAATGACATGTTTATGGATCCAATTTCATTTTCCTGGTCCTTTAAACATGCGACGTATGTTAGGATTCATCTGTTGAATATACCCAAAGTGGTGAAGGGTATCATATAGTCGGCCCCGTCCGACTTTACTGCTTTCCTTACTGGTGTAAAAATATTTTTTTTAAGTTTGTCCAAGTATTACAAGAGGCGCTTAATTATTGACTAGCATATATGACGTATAAGTGTTGTCATAACTCATACGCAACAATGGATAATATCAATTACATTGGTGTTATTATAATTTCCTGACCTACATTTAACCTCTAATTTTTTTCATTTCAGATATTACACCATTGTAGCTCCTGGTACCCTCCAATCAAATTATGATTACGATGTTAGTGTAACCCTACACGATAACCCCGAACCGGCAACCATAAAAATTGCCTTAAAAGGCAAAAAATTCAAGGAAGCTCAAACCGTGGATGTTGCCAATGGCGAAACTAAAGTTGTACACTTCGATATACCCACATTGGAGTCGGGAGACTATAAATTAGAAACGGAGGGCGTTAAGGGTCTGACTTTCAAAAACTCTACCGATTTGGTGTTCAAAAATGAAGGACCCAAAATTTACATACAAACCGACAAGGCTGTATATAAACCTGGTGATTTGGTACAATATCGTGTTTTGGCTTTGGATGAAAATACAAGACCCGCGAAACTTCACGAACCCCTAAATTTGGGTATTCGTGATGGTGCCGGAAATCATATCAAACAGTTGAAGGATATTCAAATGACCAAGGGTGTATATGCTGGAGAATTTCAGTTGTCCGAGCAACCGGTTTTGGGTAATTGGATTATTGACATAACCTCGGGTAAGGAGTCCAAGTCAAAGGTGGAGAAAAATTTCGAAGTTGCCAAATATGTTTTACCGAAATTTAGTGTCGATATTGAAACGGCCAAAGATGTGGCCATCTATGATGGGGTCATTAAGATTACGGTACGTTCTAAATATACCTATGGTAAGCCGGTAAAGGGTAAGGCCACCGTCAGCATTGCCTCCTCACCAAGGACACAGGCAGCGGAAAAGACCATCGATGTCGATGGTAAAGGTCATTTGGAATTCGATTTGGTCAAAGATCTGAAACTTGATCACAGTCAATTTGATGCCATGTCCAAAAATCAAAACCGCTATTATGGTTACCTGCCACCTCTGCAGGTATTGGCCGTTGTCACCGAGGGCTATACGGGAAATTCTCAAAACAAAACCACTTCCATAAATTTGGAACAATCCCGTTATCGTATCAATATACCGGAAAATGTTTACGACTATGTGCCCAAGAAACCATTCGAAATTAAGGGGTATATTCAAAAGCTGGATGGGTCTCCAGTTCGTGATGCCAAATCCAAAGCCAAATTGAATATTCGAAAGCAAAGTTACTATTGGCAAGCACCGGGAGAGGAAAAAGTTAAAGCCGATTATGTCTATGAATCGGAAGTTAAGGATGATGGTTCAATATCATTCACCGTGACCATTCCCGATGAGGGTTATTATGGTGATGTTACCATTGAATTTGAAGAGAAGACACACTATTTGCCCGGTATTCGTGCCAAGGAGGAAGAGAAGAAAAGTGAAAAGAAGAATGACGAAGAAGAGAAATTTGGTCCGCTGAAAATTGTTAAGAAATCTGAAAGGTAAGAAGAATGAATGGATATTAAAGAAAATATTTTTGGGGGGTCTTATCACGGAGTGGATTAAAAAAATGGAGTCATAACAAGGCGTGGATTTTTTTAAAAAAATATTTTTTTTGGTCTTTCCAAGGCTCGGATTTTTTAGCAAATGTTTTCGGGGTTTTGCACAAGGCGTGGATTTTTTAAAAAATATTTTTTGAGGTCTTACCCAAAATACTTTTCGGGGTCTTACAGAAGGCGTGGATTTTTTAAAGAATATTTTTTGAGGTCTTACCCAAAATACTTTTTGGGGTCTTACACAAGGCGTGGATTTTTTAAAGAATATTTTTTGAGGTCTTACCCAAAATACTTTTTGGGGTCTTACACAAGGCGTGGATTTTTTAAAGAATATTTTTTGAGGTCTTACACAAAATACTTTTTGGGGTCTTACAGAAGGCGTGGATTTTTTAAAGAATATTTTTGAGGTCTTACCCAAAATACTTTTTGGGGTCTTACACAAGGCGTGGATTTTTTAAAGAATATTTTTTGAGGTCTTACCAAAATACTTTTTGGGGTCTTACACAAGGCGTGGAACTTTTAAAGAATATTTTTTGAGGTCTTACCCAAAATACTTTTTGGGGTCTTACACATAGCGTGGATTTTTTAAAGAAAATTTTTTGAGGTCTTACCCAAAATACTTTTTGGGGTCTTACACAAGGCGTGGATTTTTTAAAGAATATTTTTTGAGGTCTTACCGAAAATACTTTTTGGGGTCTTACACAAGTCGTGGATTTTTTAAAGAATATTTTTTGAGGTCTTACCGAAAATATTTTTTGAGGTCTTGACAAGGCGTGGAATTTTTAAGGAATATTTTTTGAGGTCTTGCCAAGGCGTGGAATTTTTAAAGAATATTTTTTGAGGTCTTACCGAAAATATTTTTTGAGGTCTTGCCAAGGCTTGGAATTTTTAAGGAATATTTTTTGAGGTCTTGCCAAGGCGTGGAATTTTTAAAGAATATTTTTTGAGGTCTTGCCAAGGCGTGGAATTTTTAAAGAATATTTTTTGAGGTCTTGCCAAGGAGTGGAATTTTTAAAGAATATTTTTTGAGGTCTTGCCAAGGCGTGGAATTTTTAAAGAATATTTTTTGAGGTCTTGCCAAGGCGTGGAATTTTTAAAGAATATTTTTTGAGGTCTTGCCAAGGCGTGGAATTTTTAAAGAATATTTTTTGAGGCCTTGCCAAGGCGTGGAATTTTTAAAGAATATTTTTTAAGGTCTTGCCAAGGCGTGGAATTTTTAAAGAATATTTTTTGAGGCCTTGCCAAGGCGTGGAATTTTTAAAGAATATTTTTTAAGGTCTTGCCAAGGCGTGGAATTTTTAAAGAATATTTTTTGAGGTCTTACCCAAAATACTTTTTGTGGTCTTGCCAAGGCGTGGAATTTTTAAAGAATATTTTTTGAGGCCTTGCCAAGGCGTGGAATTTTTAAAGAATATTTTTTGAGGTCTTAAGAAATTATTTTTTCATGGTCTTACCAAGGCATGGATTTAAAAAAATATATTAAATTTGTTGGGACTTTAAAAGACTAAATTTTTCTTTTTCTTTTCTCCTCTAGCTACAAATTATCTGATGATGTGGAATTTGAGGTTAAATCCGATGATGTTATACCCTATTTCGTTTATGTCATAACGGGACGTGGTAAATTGTTGGAACAAAAATACATTACCCTGCCGGAAAATACAAAATCTCACAAGGTAACAATTAAGCCCACTTATGATATGGTACCCAATGCCAAAATCTATGCCTATTATGTTAAAAATGGTGACCTGAAATTCAATGAGGCCACACTAGAGTTCAGTGATGATTTTGAAAATAAGGTGAGTTCTAACCTAACCTATAAAAAATATTTAATTAACTTTATTTCTCCCTAGATTAAAATAACGGCACCGGAACAAACTAAACCCGGTGAAGAGGTAACCTTAAATATAAAATCTGATCCAGATTCATTTATTGGCCTTATGGGTGTCGATCAAAGTGTTCTGCTGTTGAAATCTGGTAATGACTTAGATCCCAAGACAATTAAATCCGATTTAAATTCGTATGACACCTCAACACCATACATTCGCGGTTGGGGTACTTATCCTGGTAAAGATTCGGGTTTGGTAACACTGACCAATGCCAAATATCCTTACAATGAAGGTGAGTGATTTATTTTTTGAAATTTTTATGAAAGTTTTTTTTTTTCTTTTGAAAATTGAATTTATATTAAAAATTTAATTTATATTAGAAATTAATTGAAATTAGTTAGTTGGCGGATATGTGGTGTAATAGATAGATTTGAATGGGACCATATAACTGGTCGTATAATCCCTAACACAACCTTGCTTAGACCCTGAAAAATATTTTTTAAACAATTCACTACTTGGTTAGGCACTGAAAAATATTCCTTAAAAAATCCACGCCTTGTGTAGACCCCTTACAAAATATTCTTTAAAAAACTCACGCCTTGTCTAGGTCTCTGAAAAAATATTCTTAAAAAAATCCACGCCTTGTTTAGGTCTCTGAAAAAGTATTCTTTAAAAAATCCACGCCTTGTTTAGGTCTCTGAAAAAAATATTCTTTAAAAAATCCGCGCCTCTTATAGTCCTGAAGGAATGTTCTTTAAAAAATCAACGTCTCTTATAGTCCTGGAGAAATATCCTTTAAAAAATCCGCGCCTCTTATAGTCCTGAAGGAATGTTCTTTAAAAGAGAAATATTCTTTAATAAATCCACGCCTCAGTTGGCCCTTGAGAAATATTCTTTAAAAAATCCACGCCTCAGTTGGCCCTTGAAAAATATTCTTTAAAAAATCCACGCCTCAGTTGGCCCTTGAAAAATATTCTTTAATAAATCCACGCCTCAGTTCTTTAATAAATCCACGCCTCAGTTGGCCCTTGAGAAATATTCTTTAATAAATCCACGCCTCAGTTGGCCCTTGAAAAATATTCTTTAATAAATCCACGCCTCAGTTGGCCCTTGAAAAATATTCTTTAATAAATCCACGCCTCAGTTGGCCCTTGAAAAATATTCTTTAATAAATCCACGCCTCAGTTGGCCCTTGAAAAATATTCTTTAATAAATCCACGCCTCAGTTGGCCCTTGAAAAATATTCTTTAATAAATCCACGCCTCAGTTGGCCCTTGAAAAATATTCTTTAATAAATCCCTGCCTCAGTTGGCCCTTGAGAAATATTCTTTAATAAATCCACGCCTCAGTTGGCCCTTGAAAAATATTCTTTAATAAATCCACGCCTCAGTTGGCCCTTGAGAAATATTCTTTAATAAATCCACGCCTCAGTTGGCCCTTGAGAAATATTCTTTA